GTTTCATAACTTAAATAATTTAATTCAAACACACGAGCACACGGGTACATAAAGGCACACACGCATATTTATAGGTATCCTGTGCCTACCTTAATGGTGGCTTAAACGATTTAGAAATGAAAAAGACTATTAAATATATGTAGACTGTATTGGTGAGAGTGTTTATTGCTGTCATTGATTTATCACGCTATCAAGACCGTTTTGTTTTGCTAGTTATATTATCAATCCCATTTTAACAGACTTATCCTTTATCCCCTAGAAAAGAAGAAGAGTGGCTTGGATTTACCCCAAAGCCCTTTCTACCAAGACTCGTGGAGGGTCATGCCCTTTGCGGAAGAAATGGTCACCGACAACCTCCTCTGGAAGAAGGAACACCCCGTAAACCTCATGGTTGTGCACCGCTGTCCCCAGCTCCTGCAGCACCCACTGACCAAGGCCTGGCTCAGACACAAGTGGAAGTCCTATGTGCGGTTTATTTACATGGGGACGCTTTTTCTGCAGCTGTTCTTCATGGCGGCTCTGGTTGCCTTCATGGTCGTGGTGTGGTGAGTGTGGAAACTGTACATAAGCTTTTCCTTTTTTGTACGTTTGGGAATGTTGGTGAAATCAGTTGGGTAAATTTCATATTATTGTAATAACGATAATGATGATGTTTATATTGTTACTGGTTATGGTGATGGCAACATAATATATATTGGATAATATTGATGATTTCGATGAGGATGACAACCATTTCTCCCTCAGGAACTGGCAACAGATAGAACAAACCCAAAACTTGACAGAAGATGAGTTCTGCAGAGTTAATCAAAAACCTGACGAGCTCACGACTGCTGTGAACTCTACTTCCTCAGTCCAAGAAGCCAATGCAACTTCTCTTCGACCTCTTGACGTAGGAGAAGCTAATGCAACCTCTCCTCGGCCTCCTGACGTGGCAGAAGGAGTTGACAGCTGGGATTCCTCGCAGTCCCATTTCTGTCATGCGGTGCTCTGTATCTCACTCATCTTTCAGATCGTTCTGGAGGCCAATTACATCCGGAAGGTGGGTCATGAGGTCGTTCTTGTTTCTTGGTGAAGACGAATATTTGTTATATTCTGTGATTGACTCTTTTGTAACTTTTTTTTTTTTTGTTCATCTCTCTCTTACACACACGCTCAATTACTCATTCACACAAACAAAACAACAACGTTAACGCACGATAATGTAGGTCCACCTTTCATTCTTACAGTTACGCTGCCAGTACGTAAACATCACATCTCTGGTTTCCTTCATGTGCATAATCCTGTGTGTTGTGCTTCTGCTGCCAACGTCCGTCTGCAGTCTACAGCATGGAATCAAATCGGTTAGTATCTTATATTTTGATTTATTTTCTGTTGTTTACGGTGATATGTTTCCGGCGGTAATGCAATTTTCACTGTCGGTGTTTGTGATAACAAGATTTTCGTCTCTGCGACCCTGTCTGTTTGGTTGTCTACCTGTAACTCCTCTCTCTCTCTCTCTCTCTCCCCTCCTTCCCCCCTCTCTCTCTCTCTCCCTCTTCCTCTCTCTCTCTCCCATCTCTCTCTCTCCCTCTCTCTCTCTCTCTCACCGATGCTTGTGTAAGTAAAATACCTTTTTTTCCAGGTCCCCATTTGGCAGTGTGGTATCATAGCTTTAGTCTTGGCCTCCTTCCGCCTCATCAGCACCATCAACCGACTCCCTGCTTTCTCCGTATTCACATCAATAACTCAGAGTTTCATCATGAGTTACCTGAAGGGCGTGATGTATGTCTTGGCCATCATCTTCCTCTTCGCCCTCATTTTTCACCTCCTCCTCTCCAATCAGCTGTCTTTCGTCACGCTTCCCCAGGCACTAGTGAAGATGGTCGTGTGGATGCTGGGAGACCTTGGCTACGATGACACCTTTATAAATAACACTCTGAATTATCCGTACCTCGTCAACTGCCTTTTCCTCGTCTTCCTCTTCACGATCGCGGAGTGTTCCGTCACCTTGCTCAAAGCGCCCTCGACCGATATTAACAAAATCAAGTTTTACCGCATGGCGAGGCAAGCTCAGATGTACTTCACGATTGACATTAGTTTCCCGAGCTTCAAGAGGTCCCACGCGATTGGGAAGTTTTGCGACAAGGAACACAAGTTCTGGATCGTCTCCAAGCTCGAGAAAATATTGAAGCGTAGGCAGCCAGGAGCCGTGGTTGTGCAGAACCTCTTAAATGTAGTGAAAATAGGGCTTATAGACGATCGCGAGTACAGGAAGCCAATGGAAAGGCACTGGCTGGTGGTTAAAGTCGAGGATGTGTTGAACATGTTTACGTCAGAGACAGAGGAAGATGACTCCCAGCGTTTCCCAGACGTCGCTCAGGAGCATATTGCTAATCAGAGTGAAAAGTTGGATCAGTTATTAGTGCTGTATAATCAGTTACATGAAAGCTATCAGAAACAGAATGAACAAATGAATGAGCTAAGAAATCAGATAGACAGTTTAAAGCTCCACACATTCTAA